GTGTTTTAGCCCAAAGGCACGACCAGATAAATTCCCTAATCTCAGCTACAGGGTCTATCCCAGGACTATCCACAGTACTCATTATGTTTCAGATTTCATCAAATCAAGAGAGAGAAACCACACAGTAATTCAAACAGTGAAAGTTGAATATTGAGAATTATTAACGATAACAGGGAAACAGAGTAACAAGAAATTGACTAGTAAGAAATAAAGAGAACTCTAAATACAGAAAGAGCAGATATAAGAAGTGGTCAGTATCCCCAACTGAGATAGTGCACCCAAAGAAGTCCTCCCCACTCCACCCCCCACCTCCCAGACATTGCTGAGATAGAACAGTTAAGAAAAAGCCAACGCACCTCCTTGGCTGAGTGACAGCACCTGAGGCAGAATCGCCCAAGGATTGAGTTTGATCCCATAAGGAAGATTTTCCTGCTCAAAGTTGAGAAGGCGCACCCAAGGACAAATCCTGCCTAGGCTGAGATAGAGCATCCAAGACCAAGTCCCTCCCCTTCCCACGCCCCCGCAACATGGCAGAGCTGAGCTAGAGCTCCTGGGAAGAGTCTTCCCCACAGGGCTGAGTCAGAGGCCCACTGAAGAGTCCTCTCCACAGATGAATTAGAGAACCTAAAAAAGACCTTAGCCCTCTCATAGGAGTGATAGAGCACCCAAAATACAAGTACTCTCCCTCCCCTAGAGTGGAAACAGAGCACACAAGTATGAACTTCTTGGTGGTGGAGTTAAAATACCACAAAGAATAACTCCCCAACTAGAGGATAGAGCACGCAAGGGAAAGTTCTACTCCCCAAAGTTAAGAAAAATTCCAGCAATGGTGAGTTAGAACATTAAGGATGCACCACTGTAGGCTTGAGATAGAGCATCCAAGGAAAAACCTCAACCCCAGAGCTGATATACAGCACCCGAGGACGAGATCGAATATCAAAGGAAAGTGCCACACACACACGCACAGTTGTGATGAGCATATGAGGAAGAGTCCCCTGCAGGTCTGAGATACAGCATCCAAGGGATGGTCCTCCCCTACCTGAGGTGGGAAACAGAGTATCCAAGGAAGCTCCTTCACTTCATGGCTGACATAGAGCAACCAAGGAAGGCATCCCCTAACATAATTATGATGAGAACCCAGGGAAGAGCCTTCCAACTGCAGTTATGAAACAACCAAGGAAAAGTCTCCTTCCCAAGGGCTGAGAGAGAGCCCCTAAGAGTCACCCCTCTGGACTGAGATAGAGCATTATGGAAAATCCTTTCCGGGGCTAAGATACAGCACCTCCGAAACAGCCCCATCCAAAAGGGATGAGACAGAGCCCACAAGGAAACATTCACGTAGGGTTGAGGTAGGTCACCCAGGGAAGCTAAGAGCTTTCTCCCAGGAGTAAGTTAAAGCCCAGAGGAAGATTCATCACCTCCATGCTGAGATAGAAGAACCCATGACAGTCCTCTGTAGGGCTTGAAGACAGCATATGAGGAAACACTCACACTACCACCACCACAACCAAGGGTTGAAGCCCACAAATGGGATAGATCCAGCTATTACTCAATGTACACCAGAGAACTTGTTGGGGTGCCATACTGGCAGAAGTCATTGGAAATCTACCTTCGGGAATTTGAGGTGTAGTATCCAGGGAAGGATCCCTTTAACCCAGAGCTTAGATAGATTACCTTCCAAAAAGTTTATCCTGAAACACTGCTGAGATACAGTGCCTTGGAAAGAGCTCTCCACTACAGATCTTAAATGGAATACTCAAATAACCTCCCCCAACCCCCCAATGTTGAAATTCCATCCCATTCATCTTATCGCCAATATTGATATTCTGACCTTGCTGGGCATGGTTGCTCACGCCTATAATGCCAGCACTTTGGAAGGCTGAGGCAGGCGGATTGCTTGAGCCCAGGAGTTTGAGACTAGCCTGGGCAACGTAGTGAGACACCATCTCTACAAAAAAATAGGTATGGTGGTGCATGCCTGTGGTCCCAGTTACTCTGGAGGCTGAGGTGGGAGGATTGCTTGAGCCCAGGAGGTGGAAGCTGCAGTGAGCCCTGTTCACCACCACTGCACTCCAGCCTGAGAGACAAAGCAAGACTCTGTCTCAAACATAAAAAATAAATAAATAATAAAAAATTTTAAAATCCTGATCTTGCCAGAGGAGTGTGGCAGCACCCCACAAAATGGCAATAAAGTTGTTATGGTGCCTCACCACTGCTGAAACTTTCTAGAAACCTGCACTCTGGGAGTTGTGGGAAATGTACTCCCCAGGGCGCCTGGGAGTGATGCACATGGGGAGGCGTCTCACCACAAGCACGGATCACGTACGGTCCAAGGGCGATGGAAGGAAGGGAAGCCGCAGGCCACTGTGTACCCTACTCCAACAGAACACTGGGACCTGTGTGGGGCGCCAGAGTCCCTAGGAGAAGCCTGTCGCTCAGCGGGTGCCAGCCTGGAGAACCAGGAAGCGCAGCCCTCCCCTTCGCTGACTCTGGCGCCCTCTAAAGGCGGCCTTCGGTAACAACTGTACAGCGGACGTAGGCAGGGGAACACAGAACCTTCTCACACAGCGGGATAAAAGGGTGAATTTGGAGCTGACAGGCAAATATATCTTGTGATATATTTGTCTGGCTTTGATAGCGGGGTAATATTGGCTTCATAGAATGAAGTAGTGTTTCTTCCTCCGTTATTTTTTTGAAGATATTGCTAAGTATTGGTATTATTTCTTCATTAAATGTTTACAGAATTTGCACGCAAAGCCACCATGGCTTGGTTTGTATTTGTGGAGAGATTTTAATTTACTAATTAAATCCTTTTTCTTTCTTTAGTCCTATTTCAATTTTCTGTATCTTCTGGAGTCAGTAATTTGTCTTCTAGAAATTTTTCTGTTTTATCTAAGTTGTTTATTTTGTTGGCATAAAGTTGTTCATAATATATTCCTTTTAATTTCTATAAGGTCCGTATTAATAACCCCCCTTTTCATTCTTGATTTTGATAATCTGTGTAGTCCTTTCTTTTTTTCTTGGTCAGTCAAGCTAAAAGATTGTTAGGTTTATTTCACTTTTTCAGTAAACCAACTTTGGATTTCATTGATTTTTCTGTTTCTTTTTATTTTATTTTATTGATTTTCTTCTACTCTAATTTCCATCATTCCTCTCCTTCTGCTTGCCTGTATTAAATACATCAATTTAAAACTTCAGGAATAACAAAATTACTTGTTTCATAAAGGAGGACTTAGACATATAGAAATGCTTATGATATTGCAAGTAGCAGTCATGTAGACAAGTTAACTAGTAGGAAATTTGGTCTGCTGAAACCAGACAAGTTTTTTGTGTTGGCCTTTGTTGATTTTGAAAATATCAAGTCTAGTTTGTAGGAAGGTGTTTATTGCACGAGTAGTTTATCTTTGAATATTTTAATATTTAGAATGCCCACTTTCACTGAATCCCACAAGTTTACTTTTTTTCAAGCTTAAAGGAAAGTATGTATTAACCAGCACATACACTATCCTCTTTGTGCTTTATCTCTGGTAATCCTTATAAGAGCGCCATGAGTTAGATACTGTTTTATGCCCATTTTATGGAAATAGAATCGTGGAGTGCACATTTAAGCAGCTCTCAGAGGTTTAACCGGTTGGAAAAGTGACAGAACCTAGGTCTGTCAGATTTCAGAGATTGCACACACAAATACTATATGACACTGCTTACCGCTGTGAGTTCAGCAGAGAATTCCTTGTTAATATGGAAATAACAAAGCTGACAGTGTCCAGGATAATTGGCATCCATCCGCAAACCCTCTGTACCCCAGTTTTGGTGATTTTAAGTGGGGTCATCTGTCCACTAAATTAATCAGACCTTAGGCTGGTCACACTTCTGAAATTGTACACCAAGTTTGTTTGTAAGGGTACTTTTCAAACAGGGAAAAATATCTATAGATTTCAACAAGTTATCCAAAGGGAGTTAGGCCCACTACTCAACGTTCTCTGGATGATAAGAGAATGCCACAGAGCCTACACTCTTTCAATGGGGAGAATAGTGTCAATTTCTTTGCCAGTTTTGTTCTAGTTTTTAATCCGAGTGTTCTAGTCACACACACATAGTTAGCTATGAGGACTATCTGCAGATGCCAGTTCCTCCACTTCAAACGAATCAGCCTACTCCACCTGAAGAACTTTATACTTTTTTTTTTTTTTTTTTTGAGACGGAGTCTCGCTCTGTCGCCCGGCCTGGAGTGCAGTTGCCGGATCTGAGCTCACTGCAAACTCCGCCTCCCGGGTTTAGCCATTCTCCTGCCTCAGCCTCCCGAGTAGCTGGGACTACAGGCGCCCGCCACCTCGCCCGGCTAGTTTTTTGTATTTTTTAGTAGAGACGGGGTTTCACCGTGTTAGCCAGGATGGTCTCAATCTCCTGACCTCGTGATCCGCCCGTCTCGGCCTCCCAAAGTGCTGGGATTACAGGCTTGAGCCACCGCGCCCAGCCCAGAACTTTATACTTTTGACTATGTGTTTATAAATGATGGGCAGGTAGGATATCTAGGACAGTGTATGTGCTCATTAATACATAATTCTCTTTAAACTTTAAAAAATGAACTTGTAGAATTCAGTGAAAATTGGCTTTCTAAATATTAAAGTATTAATATTTAAGATTAAATTTTTAGTTGGGATGGTGGTATAAGGAAGGTCAGCCCATTCTCAAACTGAGCTGGAGGCATAAGGGAATTGTTTAACCTAGTGGTGTGAACTTACAGGAATTAGTGATGTTGGACTGAGTCATGACCTAGATAGAGGGAGATGAATCTGGATCACGGAACATGATATAGATTCTGGATATGAGATTCTAAACTCTGGTACCAAGGCACACATTGCTGACAGTCTGTGATCATGTACTCTCAAGAGGATCATATATTTCAGCTGTATAGTGCTGATTCATTTGCCAGTTATGTTCCAGTTATAAATCAAAGTGTTCTATTAACACACATAGTTAATTATGAGGACTATCTGCAGATGCAGGCTTCTCCACTTCAAACGAGTCAACCAACTCTACCTGAAGAACTTCATACTGTTGGCTATGTGTTTACAAATGATGGGCAGGTAAGATAACTCTTTCTATTTCTGCCCTAATTGTGACGTTCTTAGTATAATTATTTTCTCATTGAAAAGATAAATATGAACTATATGTGTTAATTCTCTTCATTTAAATGAAAAAAACACGACACAGGAATTCTTATGTGAACATAAAATGGGAATTTTTTGATCCAAGAGTGGATTCATTATGCAAGGAACTGATGCTTTTAATTATCACATTTAATGCTCATAATTGTTCTGCAGATGTGTATTACTATATCCCCTTTAGTAAGAAATCAAGGATGACAGTGATCAAATGGCTTGCCCCAAGTGACACATGATAGGAGATAGAGCCAGGGTTTGAACGCATACCTTTCTATAGAGTCTATATTTTTTCCCACTCCCCACAATAACTCCTTTCATATTGAGATTACAGTCTACAGTCTCTGTTTCTGTTATCCAAGTCTCTAGTGCTCTATCTAAAAAATGACTAAGTATTCCTCGTGGAATATGAAGCACTAGGTGCTGTTGCCATAATTGGACTGTCCTAAAGGAGATCTTAATATGAGTTTTGTGTTGTGTATGAGAGACACATACTAACTCCACCATTAAAACATGAAGACAAAATAGATTGCATCTGCAGTTGTGGATCAGACCATTGGCATAAGGACACAGATGGGCAATAATCTCTTCTGTAACAAAACCAGACTAAATTTATTCCACCACATTCCCAAAACTCCTCAGTTAATTAAACTTTTCCTCAATTTTCTGTGCCTCTATTTTCTCTTTTTTAACAATAGGGATAAGAATCACACCTCACTCATAGGGATTGGCCAAGGATTGAGTTAATACATGTAAAGCATTTAGAACAGTACCTGGAGGGTAGTAAATGTCTGGTAAAAATGTTTTCACACATTCTAAGCCCCTATTTTATAGGAAATGAAAATGGTTCGGAAAATTTTTAAATCAACATTATATGTAAACATATTTTTATTAAATACTATATGTAATAAAATTTATATAATAAATACAAATGTGTTTATTATTGTTAATATTTATTATTAATAAAATAATGTAAATTTTTATTAAACATTAATAAATTTATATAATAAATATAAATACATTTATTATTAATATAAAATATAAATTTTATTAAATATTTAATGCAGGAGCATATTCTTTGTTTTTCAGCTTTTATGTTGTAAGGTACATATGCATGATGTGCAGGTTTGTTACATAGGTAAACGTGTGCCATTGTGGTTTGCTGGATTTATCAACCCATCACCTTGGTATTAAGCCCAACATCCATTAGCTATTCTTCCTGATGTTCTCCCTACCCACTACCCCTCCCAGCAACAGGCCCCAGTGTGTGTTGCCCCCCCCCACCCAAGTGTCCATGTGTTCTCATCATTCAGCTCCCACTTATAAGTGAGAACATGCACTGTTTGGTTTTCTATTCCTGCATTACTTTTCTGAGGTTAAAGGCTTCCAGCTCTATTCATGTTTCTACAAAGACATGATCTCATTCCTTTTTATGGCTGCATGTTATTCTATGGTGTATATGTACTACATTTTCTTTATCCAGTCTATCATTGATGGACATTTGGGTTGATTCCACGTCTTTGCTGTTGTGAATAGTGCTGCAATGAACATACGCGTGCATGTGTCTTTATAATAGAATGATTTCTATTTCTTTGGGTATATACCCAGGAATGGGATTGCTGGATCAAATTATATTTCTGCCTGTGGATCTTTGGGGAATCACCACACTGTCTTCCACATAGTTGAAGTAATTTACACTCCCAACAAAAGTGTAAAAGCATTCCTTTTTCTCCACAACCTTGCCAGCATCTGTTGTTTCTTGATGTTTTAATAATCGCCATTCTGACTGGCAAGAGATATTATGTTGTCGTGGTTTTGATTTGCATTTCTATAATGATCAGTGATGTTGAACTTTCTTTTTCATATGTTTTTTGGCTGCGTGAATGTCTTCTTTTGAGAAGTGTCTGTTCACGTCCTTTGCCCACTTTTTAATGGGGTTGTTTTCCTTTTGTAAATTTGTTTAAGTTTCTTGTAGAGTCTGGATATTAGATCTTTGTCAGATGGACAGATTGCAAAAGTTTTCTCCCATTCTGTAGGTTGTCTGTACACTCTGATTATAGTTCATTTTGCTATGCATAAGCTCTTTAGTTTAATTAGATCCCGTTTATCAATTTTTGCTTTTGTTGCCATTGCTTTTGACATTTTTGTCATGAAATCTTTGCCCGTGCCTATGTCCTGAATAGTATTGCCTATATTTTTTCTAGGGTTTTTATAGTTTTGGGTTTTACATTTAAGTCTTTAATCCATCTTGAGTTAATTTTTGTATAAGGTGTAAGGAAGGGGTCCACTTTCAATTTTTGCATATGGCTAGCCAGTTCTCACAGCACCATTAATTATATAGGGAATCCTGTCCCCATTGCTTTTTTTTGTCAGGTTTGTCGAAGAACAGATGGTTATCACTGTGCGGTCGTATTTCTGAGTTCTCTATTCTGTTCCATTGGTCTATGTATCTGTTTTTGTACCAGGAAAATGCTGTTTCAGTTACTGCAGCCCTGTAGTATAGTTTGAAGTTAGGTAGTGTGATGTCTCTAGCTTTGTTCTTTTTGCTTAGGATTGTCTTGTCTATTCTGGCTCTTTTTTGGTTCCATATGAATATTAAAATAGCTTCTTCTCACTCTGTGAAGAATGTCAATGGTAGTTTAATGGGAATAGCATGGAATCTCTAAATTACTTTGGGCAGTATGGCCATTTTCACGATATTGTTTCTTCCTATCCACGAGCATGGAATGTTTTTCCATTTATTTATGTCCTCTCTGATTTCCTTGAGCAGTGGTTTGTAGTTCTCTCTGAAGAGGTACTTCACTTCCCTTCTTAGTGTATTCCTAGGTATTTTATTCTTTTTGTAGTAATTGTGAATGGGAGTTCATTCATGATTTGTCTCTCTGCTTGCCTGTTTTTGGTGTATAGGAATATTAGCAATTTTGCACACGGATTTTGTATCCTGAGACTTTGCTGAAGTTGCTTATCAGCTTAAGAAACTTTTGGGCTGAGATGATGGGATTTTCTAGATATAGGGTCATGTCATCTGCAAACAAAGATAATTTGACGTCCTCTCTCCCTATTCGAATACTCTTTATTTCTTTGTCTTGCCTGATTGCCGTGGCCAGAACATCTGATACTATGTTAAATAGGAATGGTGAGGGAGGGCATCCTTGTCTTGTGGAAGTTTTATGGGGCATACTTCCAGCTTTTTCCCATTCAGCATGATATTGGCTGTGGGTTTGTCATATATGGTTCTTATTATTTTGAGGTATTTTTTTCAGTACCTGGTTTATTAAGAGCTTTTAATATAAGGGGATGTTGAATTTTATCAAAGGCCTTTACTGCATCTATTGAGATAATCATGTGGTTTTTATCATTAGTTCTGTTTATGTGATGAATTACTTTCATTGATTTGCCTATTCTGAAACGGCTCTGCATCCTGGGGATGAAGCCAACTTGATCATGGTGAATAAGCTTTTTGATGTGCTGCTGGATTCAGTTTTCCAGTATTTTATTGAGGATATTTGCATCGATGTTCATGAGGAATACTGGCCTGAAGTTTTCTTTTTTTGTTGTATCTCTGCCAGATTTTGGTATCAAGATGATGCTAGCCTCGTAAAATGAGTTAGGTAGGAGTCCCTCTTTTTCAATTTTTTGGAATACTTTCAGTAGAAGTAGTACCAGCTCTTCTTGGTACCTCTGGTAGTCAGGAGCATATTCTTGGGTTATCCTTTGATGAAAATAGCTTTTAGTTAACCTACAATACCCTTGAATTTCATGTTTTATCTACCATCAACATTGCAAAGCATGCCCTACCCCTGCCTTACTCCAAGATCAACATATTGGAAAAAAAGATTTATCATCACTCAATATACATGATGCTCTCAGAAAAGGCAAGTTAATTTTAATCTAGTCTCAGTGAAACAAAGGAAGATAAAATACAAGGTGTTATCCAAAGTCACACATGGCACACTCATGGTTAATCAGAATGCTTGGGGAATTAAGCATATAGATAAATATAGACAGTGATGCATATAGATATAACGACATCTGTATATATCTATATGATATACCTAATGATACATATAGATAGTGAAGGGTAAGATAGATTGAAAAGGTAAATGTTCCCACCATGTCTGGGAACACCATGTGTGGGAACATTTACCTTTTCAATCTATCCTACCCTTCACTATCTATACGTATCATCTAATAAAGTATTAATCAGTATTTGTTAATACGTAGCTTTAAAGCACTGAAGGATAAGAAAGGCTTTTTTTTGTCCCCTAACAAGGGCTGAGACAAAATGATGCGTACTTCATTAGCGAGATAATCATGTGTTTATTCCTTTAGTTGATGAAAACCACTCATTCCCCAAGCATTCTGATTAATCATGACTGTACCATGTTTGATTTTGGATAACAACTTGTATTTTACCTTCCCTTGTTTCACTGAGACTAGATTAAAATTAACTTGCCTCTTCTGAGAGCATCGCGTGTGTTGAGTGATGATAGATCTTTGACCTGTGACTAAAACTTTATATTAACTATATAAATGGATGTCTGTGTATGCATATGAAGACTGTGACTTTGCAATGGTTGGATTTGACCTTAATGGAATATTTTCACTGATGTTTTTCAGTAAATGAGGGGTGATGAAGTAAATCAAGTTGCAACAGGGCTTCAAAGCAAAAAGAAACATTCCAGAAAATCCAAGAGACACTCTTCATCTAAGAGAAGGAAGAGTATGTCCCTGTGACTAGACAAACAGGAAGGTGTAGGGGAATGCAATCTCTGGGCCTCAACCATGTCAAAGGACATTTGTAGTCATGTCCTTGAGGGATGAACAGATATGAGCACATTTGCAAGTGGAAGGGCAAGGTTCTAATTAGGTGCAACAATTTGGAGTTGCTGCGTTAGATGAATGAAGCAGGTTCCTGGGGCAGAAGGGGATGGTGGGCTCAACAAGAGGATGTGTCTGCTCACTTTCTGCCTGTCCTCACACTCCGCTCTAACCCAGTGCAGTCTGGCTTCTTAGTGTACTCCATGAAACTACTATCTTCAAGGTCACCAGTGTTTGCTGCATTTTGGCATTAATGTCTCAACAACATGTGACACAGTTGTTTACTTCCTCCTGCACGGAAAGCTTCTTGGGTCCCCAGACACCTGGATTTCTTACCGTGTTACTTGAGACTCGTTTTCCTTCTCCTTTTTGTTTTTCTCCTCTGCCTTCCCACCTCTAAATATTTCACATATTTAGCATGATCCTAGGCTCTCTTCCCTTCAATATACTATCTCCTTAGGTGATGCCATGCTGTCTTAGAATTTTAAATGATTCACACTAAAAAAACTCTCACCATTATACTTCTAGACTACAACTTGCTCCTGAAATCCAGATTCAAATGCAACTACACACGTGGTATCTCTACTAGCTGTCTAATAGGCATCTAAAATTCAACTGGCCCTACATGTTCAAATTTCTGACCTCCCTCTCTCCAAAAATACTCTACTTTTAGTCTTCACGATTTCAGTTAAAGATACTGTCCATTAAGTGAAACATCCACAAAAGTGTAACAACCAGATGTTCACAGGTATGGGGGATTTAGAAGTCTTGGTTTTTAGAGTTTGCAGCTATCCATAGTGCATATAATCCCACCATGGCCTAGTTCAAACTCTCAACATAAGGTCACTGAAGCAGATTCAGGAAGAGTTGGCAGCACTCGGCTCTCATAGTCAGTTCCCTAACACCTCCTGAACACCCCTGATGTACTTTTACCTAGTAGTTCAAGTTAAAATACTTAAAGTCACTTATGAGTTATCTCATGATTCTTTTATTACTCTCTCATTTCCCATCTCTTAGCAAATCCAGCAGTCAGTGCCCAGTATAAATTCTGCATCCAACCATTTCTCTCTATGCCTCCAGTGCACACTGCCATGATCTCTCTCCAAGCTAGTAGAATACCTTCTTAGTTCTGTTTTTCTAATCTTCACTCATCTATCGCATACTCTCTAACCCTGTGGCTAGATAATTATGTCAGTGTGTAAATCACATCATGCCATGTCCCTCCTGAAAACCCATCCTCAACTCTCCTAAGCACTCAGAACAGATCCTGAACTGACTTTGGTCTGCAAGCCTCTCTGCACGGCCTGGCCTCTATTACCCTCTCCTAACACAGGCCCCATCCATTTCCTCCTGGCTCTCTCTGCCTCTGTCCTTCAGCTCTGTAGTGCCCAGTCCATTCCCACTCCATCCCCTACCTTTGGCCTCACCGCAGCCTGGAACTCTCCCTCTGCCTCTGCACAGGAGGCTCTGCTTCTTCTCCAAGCCCTGCCCAATGGCACCTCTTCAGAAGGCACTGTCAAACCAGCAGTCTCCCCTGAGGCTCCCTCTGCTGCTGTCTCCCATAGGCCTGTGGACTGCTTCCCCAACACCAGCCCAGTGCTGCTTGTTTCATTTGCTCATTGTGCATGTACTGTCTGACTGCCCCATGAGGATGTGAGCTCCACAAGGGCAGGCAACGTTGCTCTCTGGGCTGTTTACTGCTGATCCCCAGCTCCTGGCATGCTGCCTACCACAGATGATGAATAAATGAAAGAGGTGTCAGACCTGGAGTAAAAAGAAAGTCACTTTTTCTAGACAAAAGGGAAGGATCTGTAGAATCATATAAAAACAGATGTGTGATGATTGAGTGGAGATAAGAGTGTTCAACTCCAATAGCCACCTCTATTTTCTCAGAATATTTGAGGTAGAAAGGAGGCAAGTTAAGGAGGGTTCACTTAGTCTGGCTTCCTGCTGCACACAGCATGGCATTTATAGGTGAACTGTACAAATAATATCAAATGAGAAATGTAAAGGACAGCAAGATGACACAAAATGATGAGTACAAAAACCTGTGAATGTTTATTCTGCTGTCGCACTTCTTTACTGCACGTGTTCATTATGCCAAGAGGTAAGAAGCTAGTTTTATTGTATTACCTACCTGATCTCTATTTGCAAGATCTGAGATTTCCACGTGGTAAATCCTTCTGTTTCATGAAATAAATAATTCCCTAGAAACTGATGAATACATAGCTGTCCCTCTGGGGGAGGATGGGACAAAACACACCTATCTTGCAGCTCAACCTCTTCATTTGGTTTCCAGATGCTAGCATCACTCACAATGTCCATGAAGAGAAGATAAAAAATGGCCAACCAGCACCCAGTAATGTTGCGACAACAGTCCCACCAGCGTTTATTAATATGGCAACAGCTGATATTTCATACATGAGTATCAGGGATCAGTGTAATTTTGATCTCATGTTATACTGTTCTACTTGGTTTCCACTATGCACTATATACATAGTGTCATGAGGGAAGAAGGTAATTTTGTTGTTTTATCTTTTCTGGCCTCAATTTTAGGGTTCTCAGATTGCTAACTGGTGTATCCTCTTTCTTCATGAGATGATTTCCTAGATACTGAGCATCAGGGGGGTATGCCTGTGCAGCTGACATAATGCACTTACCTCACAGCTCAACCACCTCATTTGGTTTCCAGATGCTGCAGTCACTCACAACATCTGTGAAGAGAAGATAAATAACAGTCAACCAGCACCTGATAATGCCTTGCCGACTGCTCCACTATGGCTTGGTAATATGGCAGCAGCTGGAGTTTCATCCATGAGCACGAGAGATCTGTGTATGTCTGCTTATTTTTTGGACTTGTCCTACTTGGTTTCCATAAGCAGGCATATTTTCATGAACGGTGGTAGGTGGTTTTGTAGTATATTCTTTCCTAGCCTCAATTTGAGGGGTATCAGATGGCCACCTGGCATATCCTTCCCTGCTTTTTTAGATAATTTCCTAGAAACTGGGCATCAGACAGATAGGCCTGTGGAGCTGACATAATGCACTTACCTTACAGCTCAACCTCTTCACTTGGTTTCTGCATGCTACCGTCAATCCCAATGTCCATGAAGAGAGGAAGGAAAATGGTCAACTGCAAACGGATAACATCTTGTCAAATGTTCTATCAGGGCCGATTAATATGGCAGAAGCTGGTATTGCAGCGATGAGTACCAGGGATCTGTGTATGTTTGTTTATTAGTTGTAGTGTCCTTGGCTTCCACATGCAAGTGTAGTGTCATGAAGGGAAGAAGGTTGTTTTGTTGAATTATTTTTCCTGGCCCCAATTTTAGGGGACTCAGATCATTACATGATATATTCTCCTGCTTTATTGGATAGTTTCCTAGAAACTGAGCATCAGTGGGATATACCGGTGAGGTTTTCATAATGCACTTACCTCACAGCTCAACCTGTTCCATTGGTTTCCAGATGTTACCATCACTCACAATGTCCGTGAAGAGAGGATGGAAAACTACCAACCCCAAACTGATAATGTCTTATCAACTGTTCCACCACAGCTTGGTCATATGGCTGCAGCTCCATCCACGAGTATCAGGGATCTGTGTACGTCTGCTAATTAGTTGTACTGTCATACTTGTTTTCAATAAGCATGCATATTTTCGTGAAGGGTAGAAGTCAGTTTTGTTGTATATTCTTTCCAATCCTCAATTTGAGAGGTCTCAGATAGTCACCTGGCATATCCTCCCCTGCTTTTCTTGATAATTTCCTAGAAACTGAGCATCAGAGGGATATATCTGTGGGACTGATAATGCGCTTATCTTACAGCTCAACCTCTTCGTTTGGTTTCCAGATTGTACTGAGGGGAAGAAGGTGGTATTGTTGTATATTCTTTACTAGTCTCAATTTGATGGGTCTCAGATGGCCACCTGGCATATCCTCCCTGCTTTCTTAGATAATTTCCTAGAAACTGAACATCAGAAGGATATACGTGAGTGGTTACCACAATACACGTACCTCACAGCTCAACCTCTTCATTTGGTTTCCAGATGCTACAGTCACCTTCACTGTCCCTGAAGAGAAAATGGAAAATGGCCAACCCCAATCTGATAATGTCTTGTCAACTGCTCCAACAGGGCTTATTAATATGGCAGGAGCTGTTATTCCAGCCATGAGTACCAATGATCTGGGTATGTTCACTTATAAATTGGATTGTCCTACTTGGTTTCCATATGCATGCATATTGTCATGAAGAGGAGATGGAGGTTTTGTTGTATTATCTTTCGTGGGCTCAATTTGAGGGATGTCAGATCACCAACTGTGATGTCCTCTGGCTTTATGCAATAATTTCTTAGAAGCTGAGCATCACAGGGGTATACCTGTGGGGTTGACATAATGCACTTCCTCACAGCTCACTCTCTTCATTTGTTTTCCGGATTCCACCGTCACTCACAATGTCCATGAAGAGAAGATGGAAAATGACCAACCCCAACCTAATAACATGTTGTCAACTGTTCAACCAGTGGTTATTACTTGGCAGCAGCTGGTATTCTGGGCATGAGTACCAGGGATCGGTGTATGTTTGTTTACTAGTTGTAGTGTCCTACTTGGTTTCCATATTCATGCATATTGTCATCAAGGGAAGAAGGTGGTATTGTCGTATTATGTTTTCTGGCCTCAATTTGAGGGTTCTCAGAGGGCTCCCTAGTATATCCTAGTTCTTTATGAGATAAATTCCTAGATATTCAGCATCAGAGGGGTATCCCTGTGGGATTGACGTACTGCACTTACCTCAGAGCTCATCCACTACGTTTGTTTTCCAGATGCTAGCGTCACTCACAATGTCCGTGAAGAGAAGATAAATAACAGCCAACCAGTCCCGATAACGTCTTGTCAACTCTTACACCAGGGCTTATTAATTTGGCAGGAGCTGGTATTCCACCCCTAAGTGCCAGGGATCAGTGTATGTTTGTTTACTAGTTGTACTATCCTACTTCTTTTCCATATGCATGCAGTGTCATAAATGGAAGAATGTAGTTTTATTGTATTGTCTTTCATGAGCTGAATTTGTGGGGTCTCACATCACCACCTGATATATCCTCCTGCTTTATGTGATAATTTCCTAGAAACTGAGCCTCAGAGGTATATACCTGTCGGGTTGGCAAAATGCACTTACCTTACAGCTCGACCTCTTCATTTGGTTTTCAGTTGCCACCATCAATCACGATGTCCATGGAGAGAGGATCCAAAATGGCCAACTGCAACAGGATGATGTCTTATCAAATGTTCTATCTGGGCTTATTAATATGGCAGGAACTGGTATTCCTGCAGTGAGTAACAGGGATCTGTGTAGGTATGTTTTCTTCTTGCACTGTCCTTCTTGGTTTCCATATGCATGCATAGTGTCATGAAGGGAAGAAGGTTGTTTTGTGAATTATCTTTCCTGACCTCAACTTGAGGGGCCTCAGATCATCATATGATGTATTATCCTGCTTTATGGGGTAATTTTCTAGAAACTGATCATCAGTGGGACATACCAGTGGGATTGACATAATGCACTTACATCACAGCTTGACCTCTTCCTTTTGTTTCCAGATGTTACTATCACACACAATGTCCATGAAGAGACGATGGAAAATGGCCAATGCCAAACTGATAATGTTGAGTCAACTGTTCCACCGCAGCTTGTTCATATGGCAGCAGCTGGTATTCCATCCATGAGTAGCAGGGATCTGTGTATGTCTATTAATTAGTTGTACTGTCACACTTGATTTCCATATGTATACATATTTTCATGAAGGGTAGAAGGTGGTTTTGTAGTATATTCGTTCCTAGCCTCCATTTGAGGGGTCTCAGTTGGCCACCTGGCATAGCCTCCCCTGCTTTCTTAGATAACTTCCTAGAAACTGAGCATCAGAGGTATATACCTGTAGGGCTGACAAAATGCACTTACCTCACAGCTCAACCTCTTCATGTGGTTTCCAGATTTTACCATCACTCACAATGTCTGTGGAGAAAAGACAAAAAATGACCAAACAGCACCTGATACATTCTTGTCAACTGTTACATCAGGGCTTATGAATTTCACAGGAGCTGGCATTCCATCCAAGAGTACCAGGGATCAGTGCATGTTTGTTTAGTAGTTGTACTGTCCTACTTGGTTTCCATACACATGCAGTGTCATGCAGGGAAGATGGTGGTTTTGTCATATTATCTTTTCTAGCCTAAATTTGAGGGGTCTCAGATCACCACCTGTGTTATGGAACAATTTCTTAGAAACTGAGTCTCAGAGGGATATACCTGTGGCATTGACATAATGCAGTTACTTCACATCTCGACCTCTTCCTTTGGCTTTCAGATGCTACCGTCACTCAAAATGTCCATGAAGAGAGGATGGAAAATAACCATTACCTAATAACGTCTTGTCAACTCTTCTACCAGGGCTTACTTATTTGGCAACAGCTGGTATTCCAGCCATGAGTACCAGGGATCAGTGTATGTTTGCTTATTCAGTTGTACTGTCCTACTGGGTTTTCTCAGATTGCTAACTGGTATATCCTCCTTCTTTGTGAGATAATTTCCTAGACACTGAGCATCAGAGGGGTATGCCTCTTTGGTTGATGTAATGCACTTACCTCACAGCTCAACCACTTCATTTGATTTCCAACTCAACCACTTCATTTGGTTTCCAGATGTTACAGTCATTCACAACGTCTGTGAAGAGAAGATAAATAACGATCAACCAGCCCCTGATAACGTCTCACCAACTGCTCCACCATGGCTTGGTAATATGGCAGCAGCTGGAATTTCATCCATGAGTACCAGGGATCTGTGTATGTCTGCTTATTAGTTGTACTGTCCTACTTGGTTTCTCTAAGCAGGCATATTTTCATGAATGGTAGAAGGTAATTTTGTTGTATATTCTTTCCTAGCCTCAAATTGGGAGGTGTCGTTAGCCATCTGGCTTATCCTCCCCTGCTTTCTTTGATAATTTCCTAGAAATTGTGCATCAGATGGGTATATCTGTGGGGCTGACATAATGCACTTACCTCACAGCTCAACCTCTTCATTTGGTTTCCAGATGCTATCGCCAATCCCAATGTCCATGAAGAGAGGATGGAAAATAGCCAACTGCAACCAGATAACGTCTTGTCAAATGTTCTATCAGGGCTTACTAATATGGTAGGAGCTGGTATTCCAGCCATGAGTACCAGAGATATGTGTATGTTCAGTTTTTAATTGAATTTTCCTACTTGGTTTCCATATGCATGCGTAGTGTCATGAAGGGGAGAAGGTGGTTTTGTTGTATCATATTTCTTAAGCTCTATTTGAGGGGTCTCAGAATACCACCTGTCATGTCCTCTTGCTCTATGCAATAATTTCTTAGAAGCTGAGCGTCAGTAGGATATACCTGTGGGTTGAAATAAGGCACTTACTTCACAGCCGGCCCTAAATCATACTTCATGCTATTTCCACAGGCATTTAAGTTGGTATTATCTTATTCTCACACTTTCTTCCAATGCCATGGAGCCTTCCAAATTTATCATAATCTGGGAGTGGAAGTGGGCCCTCAGTTGACTCACTTTGTATTTTTCTAGTTTGTATCTTTCCATGAGGATGCATTTTCTATTTGCATGTAGATGGTAAATTCTGTTTTGTATCCACTACTACCTCTTACATCTCACAGATGCTGTAGATATCCTCTGGTTAATGGAATACCTCTTTCATTTCAGGTTTTAAAAAGTTGTCTTAATTCAACAACTCGAGAAGGCACTTAAAGAAATAGATTCCCACTGCCATCTCAGAAAAGTTAAGCATATGAGAAAAAAATAATTGTGTTAGTGCAAAAACCAAGGAGATGCTGTAGGATGGAATAGGTTATTGCTGAAGCTTCCTATAATTTTGAATTGAAGAGAATTCCCTTCCAAAAGCTAAGAAAAAAGGAGGGAGCTTTTTATATTTAATAAATCTCTGTTAATAAAAGCCGCACTTTTGTTTGTTTGTTTGTTCTTCTGCCTGAGGAGGGGCATGAGTTAATAACTCACCAAGGTATTTAGTATTACAGTCCTGATTTCTGCAGCAGCTCACATTGTTGTAACTGGCATTTCTCTCCATTTCTCATTCCCTTTGCCCTGAGATAGCATGTCAGCTGGTCATGATGCTTGGTCTGGCAGGATGGCTCAAACCTTCATTACTGAACAGTCTGGACTATTAGATATCCTGCCTGGATTGGGTTGCTGTAATTTTCCATTAAGTGTAATAAACATGGGAGCACTAAGAAGCTCTCTAGATGTATCAGACGTACTCTTTTTTAGCCCCTGGTGTAGTACAATTAATCCCCCTTTGGTCATCAGGTTTGTCACCCCAGCCAGTAGATGACCTCCTCCTTTGCCTCTAGATGGAAGATGCTGAAGAGACCAAAATGGCCAGGTGGCAGCATCAATCTGTTTTCAATGGAGTCACTGTTGTGTCCCTTGTTGAAAGCATTTCTTCCTTTGGAACTAAGACTTCTAGTTCAGGAGAGCCTAAAGTAGGAAGGACAGGAAGCATTTATTCTAGTGGATCACTGAGGTGAATAGTGAGTAGGGATACTCCCAGTTATACCCCTTCATTCTAAGACTAATGAATCCTGACAACTGGAGAAAAAGCAGGCTATGTTGGATGCAGATATACAGCAAACACTGCTTCCTAAAAGTAATTTCTTAGACCTGCAAAGTATTGCCACCTAGTTAGCAGTGTAACTGAGTTGTACAAGGTCATTCCATGTTTCTGTTGATCCAGTCATTTTAACATAATGGGGGACACTTTGGGAGGCTGATTTGGAATAAAAAACTATGAGGCCAAGGCAGTATCATGTCTTTAAAAAGATGATGGGGGATAGGGAGATATAAATAATAAGACCAGTGATTTCTCATGAGCATGGGGCCATAACTGCACTTTATTTTCTGGAAAGTGAGTGCCTTGTTTGGAGGTGATGCTGTGTGGGATACCATGATGGTAAATAAAGCATTTTCTAAGTGCACAAATATTTATTTTCTGAAATTACTGTGGATGGGAAGGAAGATCCATATTCAGAATAAGTGTCTATTTGAGCAAGAACACAGTCCTATCCCTTCCATAGTATAAGTGGTCCAGTGTAATCACCTGCCATCCGGTAACTGGCTAATCACACTGGAGACAGGTGCCATATAAGAGACTTAGTGTTGCCCTCTGTTCTAGAAGATTGTACTCTCAGCAATGACTATGTTGCAGAATTTTGCTCCTTAGTTCAGCTAAAACTGAGTTCTTGTCACACGAACAGGAAAGATTAGGTTCGGGGACACATTGAAGGGTGAGGAGCTGAATTTATTGGTTGAAAAGGAAAAATAGGAAGGAAAAAAAAACTCTCAGCAAAGCGAGAGGGAGTCCTGCTAACAGGCCCCCACCTCACAGATTGATTCTGGACCACCACATAGGAACCAAAGAGACCAGACTCCCCACCACCACCCCTGCACAAGACGCAAACTTCCCTTGGCCCCACACCCTTCTCCCAGTACACATGTCGCCATTATGAAGAAAGAATCAGTTGGGAAAAGGCTAGCAAACGGTGCCAGTTCTTCTTCTGGGTGTGGGTTTCATTCGGGAGCAGCAGTCGAGTTTCTCAACTTTCAGGCTGTTTTAGGCTTGAAGAAGGGATTTCACCCAGGACCCTTGGCTGTCTCATGTCTCTATCTACTGTAGCCAGGTTGGCCTTGGTGAATGGAAGTCCATGCTACTGAAGCATAATCTCTATCCCTGTCACCTTGGCCACTTTGTGAGCCCATGAGGTTATGACACAAGTGTTGGGGAAAGAGGCTGATTAATATCTAGATAATAGGTACTTTATCCTTCAGATTATTAAAATTCTGCTCTACTGAGGTTACCCTTTGCCGAGAACTCTCATGAGACCTAAGTATCTTCACATTGTATATCCATTTGGACTAGTCTGTTCACATATTTTTTCCCAGACCTCCTTGTCACAAATTTCCAATCATGTGTCCACAAAGTCCTTGAACATACAGCCAATAAAGGAGACACCGCCTATACATGGATACATACTGATAGGTCTGGCCATCTCTCCTCCACACAGGAGCACTGCTCAAACATCTTCCCTCTGGGAGGATTTCCCTTCCCCACTGTCCTTCAGAGCTGTCCCAGTTGGGCCTGTCGTAATGAAGCTGTTCACTTTTGGCTTTTGTGGTAGGCAGGCATTATGAACAGACTGAATATTTGTGTCCTCTGAGAATTCATATGATGAAACCCTAACTCCCAATGGGACGATATTTGGAGGTGGAGCCTTTCGGAGATAATTAGGTTTAGATGTGATCATGATGTTTGGGTCCCTATGATGAGATTAGTGCCCTTATAATTAGAGAAAAGGGAATTCGTTCTTCCATGCTTCTTCAAAATGTGAGGATGCAGCAAGGTGGCTGACTGCAAGCCAGGAAGAGGAACCTCACCAGAATTTGAGCATGCCGGCACCCTGATCTTGGACTTCTAGCCTCCAGATCCGTGAGAAAGAAATGTCTGGTGATGAAACCATCCAGTCTGTGGTATTCTGTGATAGCAGCTCGAGCTGAGACAGCTGTAGTCTGATTCCCCAGACTCCCCTCTCCTGTATACTCGATCAAGCACTAATCCAAGTACTGCTATGGTTGGATTTTGCTGGATAATTAATGTCTCAAGTCAGTTGACCCTGAGACATGAATGTGGTGCGGGTGGGCCAGACCTGGCAGGGTAATCCTTGAGAAGTACAGCATTTTCCTTACCAAGGAGCAGAAGAAGAGGTAAGAGAGTCAAAGCACAAGAAGGATGTGACACAGCAGGCCTGCTTTGAGGGTAAAGCCATGCTCCCAAGAAGGTATAGAATGGCTCTAGGTGTTTAGTGCAGTTTCTGGATGACAGCCAGCAAAGAAATGGGAACCACATTCCTACCACCTTAAGGAACTAGATCTAAATGAGCTATAACATGAATAAGCTTAGAAGTGGATTACGCCGCAGTCTCCACATCAGCATCCAACCGGCCTGATATTTTGAGTTGGCCTTGGGAGACACCCAGCAGAGACGCCGGTTGAGCCTTCCTGGTCTTGACTTGCGGAAGTGTGGATAATAAATATGCGTTGTTTTAGGCTGCCCAATTTGAGGTAATTTGTTATGTGGCAATAGAAAACTAATACACGTGCTGCCAGCCCATTATAAAGAAAGAATAGTAAGTAAGCCAGGCCTAGGGATTTTTTTATTGTTTGCTTTTGAGACAACTCTGTTCATAAGGGACCTCCCTTGGAGCCATAGGAGTGGGTTCAGAGCACTTTTTCTTTTTCTAGGTCAAACTCAGAAGTAGCAGATTTTCCAGTCATTAGCAGGTGAGTCACAGCAGCACACCTCAATGAGGTACATGTTACCATAATCAGAACCTAAGGAGGCCCACTATTTTGCCTGTCCCCTTTGAGTGGCAGGAAGGGTGAGATGTACCAACTTGCCGTTCACCTGATACATACTATGCTGACATGCCTCTGAGCACTTGACCACTAAATATTTTACTAAGTAAAAGGTCCCTGACTTTTTTTGTGCAAACTGTTACTTAGATTGTCATGTCAGTATGTTATCAGTGTGTCTAGAGTAGTTGCTAGGTCCTGCCTAATCAACATAATGTCATCAATGCAAAGTAATGGTGTCACATGGTGGGAAGGAAAGGAGATCAAGATCCCTAAGGACTAGTTTGGGACATAAGTTTATGATGCAAGATACTTTCCTGACTCCTTCACAGGACTCAGGACAGGGGTGCCCAGCCTCTTTGGCACCAGCAGGAGCAAACACCTTTTCCTTGGATCCCCTGCACCCCATCCCTCATGGGAGGCAGCACATAGGCAAGTGAGTGTGGTAACTGGCCAGTTGCTTTGGCACTGGCAGGAGCAAACTCCGTGCAGGCACTATGGCACCATCCGGGTAGGACTGCCTGCAACCCCAAGGCCTGAGAGTGCGTATTACAATGCTCTCTTAGCCCCGCCATCCACGGACAGCAGTGTATTATCAGCTCAGTGGGACCTTTGCCTCATTGCGAGGGTGGCTGCAAAGGCAAAGGGCCAGTGTGACAGCCTTTTTGGGTACCAATACTCGGTGGGTCCCAAATTCTTGTCTGGTACCCAAGAAGAATGAGGTCACGCAGACTAATCGAAGGATGGTGAGTGCAGAGAATTTTATTGTGCGATGAAAGTAGCTCTCAGCAGAGAAGGCAGCTGAAAAGGGGAGGGGAAGGGCAGGTTGCTCTCCCCTGAAGTCAAATCGCCTCTCTGCCTCTCTCCTCTGAAGTCAAGTTGCTTCTCCCCGACGTCTAGCCGTCAAGTCAGAAGTCAAGTCACCTCTCCCTGATGTCCAGCTGCTTCTCCTCTCTACTGGATGAATCTGGGGTCTTCACAAACATGGGACAATGGGTAGGGTGGGCCGTAGGTAGTTTTGGAAAAGGCAACATTCAATTGGTAAAAAGACATTATTCAGAAAGAACCAATTGGCAGGATGTGGCCAAGATAGGATGAAGTTGTCACTTCAGGCTTTTCAGCTTGAGGGTGGGTTTCACCAAGGACCCACCCTTGTCTGCCTGGAATTTCTCTGCCTCCTACCTGTATCACTTAGAGAGTTGATATAAGACTGAGGTAGGAAGGAAAAGGGTTTTCCTGGCCTTGCCAGCTGAAAGCAAACAGTTCCTCATGATCTTTAAAAAACATGTATAGAGAAAAAGGCATTCACATGATCTCACACATGC